TTTTTAATAAATAGTTCATCAACACAATGCTCCATTTTTGAGTCACATTCAAGAATATCTGCTTTCTGAGGCTATGGCCGAGTTTGAGGGCCAAGGATGGAGTCTTGTATTGATTTGTTTCCTCATCATATCCAGCCACAGACCTGACTGCATCAATCACATGGTTAAAGTTGGAAGGAATAAAGAAATCCTTAATTGTTTTCAGTTTCCCTGCGGTTTTTGCTTCGTTAATTAACCTACCGACTTCTCTCATTTTCTGCCTAATGTAATCATGCTTAGTCTTATCATGCCCGTGTTTTAAGTACAGGTGCTCTCCGAGTCTCAGAATCCCCTTTTCTGCTTTGACAACACCCGTGACCTCATCCTGATGCATTGCCCAAATTAAAGACCACAGCTTTTTGCTGATGCCCTCCGGTACAGGCTGGGCTAGGGAGCAGAGGGACTGGACCCTACTTCTACCTGGTTTAGCCTGGTTTAGCCTGGGCATCTTTCTGTGAAAGCCGGCACCTGGCCACATGCCTCCACAGCGACTTTCGCTTAAGCAATGCCCCACAGTCTATACAGTGCAAAAACTCACTGGATTTAACTGGGGAATTTGGCTGTTTAGCTGGGACTAAAGTTCCAATGCCGGCCTTTAAAACCTCAAAATTGTGCTCACGGTTTCCACTATTCCTGATCAAATCAAAGTGAAGTTTACGTGCTTTAGATTTCACAGGTAGAGCCAATGCTCTGGCTACGTCACTTTCATTTCCATGTTTTCTAGTCAAATGATGGGACATTTTGTGGCAGGACATTGAACAGTAGAGGCAGAAGTGTCTCTTGCTGTATACTCGCCCCCCAGTTTTCTTCTTTTGCAGCTGCATGATAACAATCTTATTTGCCTTTGGTTCGTCACTTTCCGAGTCTTGAAGAAAAGTGTTTTTGATTTTTCTTTTTCCATACTTTTTTACAGGTTTCTTCTTGACAGTTAAATCGTCAGAATCTGAGTCGACTTCATCAATTAGGGACTCTTGACTAAGCTGCACAAACAACAAATAATTTGTAATCATTCTATATAACAATTTGAAGTCATGACTTGTAGTCAGCACTTACCAGTGGTTTGTAAGCGTGCGCTTCAGTGTGCTGCTCTGTGATTGGCTGCAGCCTAATGAACCACACACTTGCACCTTTTTCTAGCCTGACACCTGATTTCCTCTGTTGTGCTGCTCCATGATTGGCTCCAGCCTCTGTTGTGCTGCTCCATGATTGGCTCCAGCCTCTGTTGTGCTGCTCCATGATTGGCTCCAGCCTGCTGGACTGAAATTGCCCCAGTGTGCCCCTCCTTGATATCCCGCAACCCACCACCAGGGTTCCGACACATAACACACTTTTTTCAGGAAAGTAAACCTCCAGGGGTCCTTTCCATATTTTTACAGAGACTGCATAAGGACCGTTAGAAAAGCATTACCCATTGATTATTAAGCTTGGACCAGTGGGGTCCGGTGTTCGGGCCCCACCACGTAAAACCAGTCCCCATGACGTGAGTGGAATCTCAGGTTATGGAACCCACCAGGAGTTGAAAACAAGTGCACACACACACACACACATACACACACACACACATATACACACATATATACACACATATACACACACACACACACATACATATACATATACACACACATACACACGCACACACACATATACACACATATACATATACACACATACACACTCATACACATACACACACACACACACACACACACACTCATACACACACACACACACTAAAATGTAGCATAACTTTTTCTGTTTTAGCAAAGTTACACTGCCCTCTGCTGGACACTCAGGGTTCTTCTTTGGCCCTCTTTAGAATTACAATCACAATACTTCTACTGCTACTACCATTACTACTACTACTTCTACTACTACCATTACTACTACTACAACTACTACTACTGCTACTACTGTTACTACTACTACTACAACTACCATTACTACTACCACTGCTAAGTGAAGCATATTGTACAAAGGTAATTTTATGTACATCTGTTCCATTAAAAAAACACACACACACACACACACTCTGAGGGAACAGCATTACAGAATATGTCCTTGCGACGCCTGCGACTACAAATACCTCCGAACGAAATCTATGAAGCCCATTGGCCCTCCTGTCTCCATGGTTACACATTCTATTGATGCATTCCTCTCATCACAATCCTCACTTTCTCTGCTCATATCGGGCCGTATGTGATTAGCATTAGCCATTAGCTCGAGTCCTCTCTGACCTGGAGGTTGTGGATCACTTTCCCGCTGGCGACGGCTAAAACACGGCGCTAAAAGGTTAAGAATGGCCGAGTTAATTGCAGTCAAACCATGTCCTCCTCGTGCATTGAAATGGTCTCTCTGGTCTCTCTCTCTGGTCTCTCTCTCTCTGGTCTCTCTCTGGTCTCTCTCTCTCTGGTCTCTCTCTCTCTGGTCTCTCTCTCTCTGGTCTCTCTCTCTCTGGTCTCTCTCTCTCTGGTCTCTCTCTCTCTGGTCTCTCTCTCTCTGGTCTCTCTCTCTCTCTGGTCTCTCTCTGGTCTCTCTCTCTGGTCTCTCTCTCTCTGGTCTCTCTCTCTCTGGTCTCTCTCTGGTCTCTCTCTGGTCTCTCTCTCTGGTCTCTCTCTGGTCTCTCTCTGGTCTCTCTCTGGTCTCTCTCTGGTCTCTCTCTGGTCTCTCTCTGGTCTCTCTCTGGTCTCTCTCTGGTCTCTCTCTCTGGTCTCTCTCTCTGGTCTCTCTCTCTGGTCTCTCTCTCTCTGGTCTCTCTCTCTCTGGTCTCTCTCTCTCTGGTCTCTCTCTGATGTCAGATTAGTTTTTTCCTGTTGCTTGAACACATTTTACAAAATGTTGCTTGTTGTCCCAAAACTCTACACACACTGGGACCTAAACCCATTCACATCTGGGTCGAAATGAAACTCTGAGGACAATATGATACACACTTGCATACAGACACACACACAGACACACACACACACACACACACAGACACACACACACACACGGCGGTAAGTGTAATCTATGGCGCATACACATCCTTCCCGTTGGGTGGTATCAGGCTGAGTGCTCTGATCCTGACATGATCCGGGTCGTTCCGCGGGCCTAAGTCCTGTGGGTTCTGTGACTGCGGAGGATCAGCGCCGAATTATTCTAATACTCGGATTCAAAGGTCACCGCGAGCTCCAGCAGTACTTACACCACCACTCTGCGGACGTTCATGTCCAGGAATCAGTTCAATACATCGGCCTCACTTCCCTTTCAGCTTCTACCACCTCCCAACAAACTAGCTACGCATGCTAACCATGGGCTAGCTACGCATGCTAACCATGGATATTTGTGTATACATTTTTATTTAATTAATTCATATAATATCTGATGGATTTAAGGAATAAAAGTGTCTGTGTGTGTATTTGAAGTCTATTGAAAAAAGTGCAATAGCGTCAAATGTCCACTAGATGTCAGTGTTCGCCCACAGACTGAGGCGGCTTCTGTTCAACTGCGCATGTCTGCAGGATTTCAACTGGGGAAAAAATGACCTATCCTAAGTACAGTATAGGGATCCACAAAGGGAGAGCACAGGGCCAGGGATCCACAAAGGGAGAGCACAGGGCCAGGGATCCACACAGGGAGAGCACAGGGCCAGGGACTCACAAAGGGAGAGCACAGGGCCAGGGACTCACAAAGGGAGAGCACAGGGCCAGGGATCCACAAAGGGAGAGCACAGGGCCAGGGATCCACAAAGGGAGAGCACAGGGCCAGGGATCCACACAGGGAGAGCACAGGGCCAGGGACTCACAAAGGGAGAGCACAGGGCCAGGGACTCACAAAGGGAGAGCACAGGGCCAGGGACTCACAAAGGGAGAGCACAGGGCCAGGGATCCACAAAGGGAGAGCACAGGGCCAGGGATCCACAAAGGGAGAGCACAGGGCCAGGGATCCACACAGGGAGAGCACAGGGCCAGGGATCCACACAGGGAGAGCACAGGGCCAGGGATCCACACAGGGAGAGCACAGGGCCAGGGATCCACACAGGGAGAGCACAGGGCCAGGGACTCACAAAGGGAGAGCACAGGGCCAGGGACTCACAAAGGGAGAGCACAGGGCCAGGGATCCACAAAGGGAGAGCACAGGGCCAGGGACTCACAAAGGGAGAGCACAGGGCCAGGGATCCACAAAGGGAGAGCACAGGGCCAGGGATCCACAAAGGGTAATGCACAGGGCCAGGGATCCACTAAGGGAGAGCACAGGGCCAGGGATCCACACAGGGAGAGCACAGGGCCAGGGATCCACAAAGGGAGAGCACAGGGCCAGGGATTCACACAGCGAGAGCATAGGGCCAGGGACTCACAAAGGGAGAGCACAGGGCCAGGGATCCACTAAGGGAGAGCACAGGGCCAGGGATCCACACAGGGAGAGCACAGGGCCAGGGATCCACACAGGGAGAGCACAGGGCCAGGGATTCACACAGCGAGAGCATAGGGCCAGGGACTCACAAAGGGAGAGCACAGGGCCAGGGATCCACAAAGGGAGAGCACAGGGCCAGGGATCCACTAAGGGAGAGCACAGGGCCGGGAGAGCACAGGGCCAGGGATCCACAAAGGGAGAGCACAGGGCCAGGGATCCACTAAGGGAGAGCACAGGGCCGGGAGAGCACAGGGCCAGGGATCCACAAAGGGAGAGCACAGGGCCAGGGATCCACTAAGGGAGAGCACAGGGCCAGGGATCCACTAAGGGAGAGCACAGGGCCAGGGATCCACTAAGGGAGAGCACAGGGCCAGGGATCCACTAAGGGAGAGCACAGGGCCAGGGATCCACTAAGGGAGAGCACAGGGCCAGGGATCCACTAAGGGAGAGCACAGGGCCAGGGATCCACTAAGGGAGAGCACAGGGCCAGGGATCCACAAAGGGAGAGCACAGGGCCAGAAATTCACTAAGGGAGAGCACAGGGCCAGGGATCCACTAAGGGAGAGCACAGGGCCAGGGATCCACTAAGGGAGAGCACAGGGCCAGGGATCCACAAAGGGAGAGCACAGGGCCAGAAATTCACAAAGGGGGAGCACAGGGCCAGGGATCCACAAAGGGGGAGCACAGGGAAACCTCATGAGGACTTGAGCGCCCTCTGCTGGTGCTTTGTTGTAACAGTTTTTGTGATTGTGAATAACCAAAACGCGTTGGTGACGTCTGTTAAAGAATCCACACTATTTCTGCAGTTTGTCTGTGGAGCTACTCTGCAAAAAGTTGCAAAAATGCTCAAATTTGTCTAAATGAATCAATGCCAATGGGAAAGAGCAAAATGAACTTGTTTTTTAAAAGATATACAGAAATGTCTCCTTTGGAATGAGAAAATAAAGAAACAATTCTAGAAATGAGACTAAATATCTTTGTTCCACTGGAGAAAGAGTTTTGAGGCAGATTCAGAGACATTTGGCCAAATTTGAGCATTTATTTACTTATTTTTACCACTTTCTGCAGTGTAGACCAGGATTCTTAGTTCCTGTAGAGACGGTTGAACACAGTAGAAAGTAGAGCCACAAAACCCTCTCTCGTCCTGTACCTGTGAGTCCGTTTTATTACCTCTACCCTCTCCTTTCTCATCCTCCCTCTCTCTCCTCTCCCTTCTCTCTCTCTCTTCTCACCTCTCTTTTCCATTCTCTCCTCTCTCCTCCTCTCCTCTCTCTCTCCCTCTCCCTCTCCCTTCTCTCTCTCCTCTCTCTCTCCTCCCCCCCCTCTCTCCCCTCTCTCTCCTCTCTCCCCTCCCCCCCTCTCCTCTCTCTCCCTCTCTCTCCTCTCTCCCCTCTCTCTTCTCTCTCTCCTCTCTCTCCTCCCCCCCTCTCTCCCCTCTCTCTCCTCTCTCTCCCCTCCCCCCCTCTCCTCTCTCTCCTATCTCTCCCCTCCCCTCCTATCCTCTCCCCTCTCTCTCCCCCCTCTCTCTCCCCTCTCTCCCCCTCTCCCCCTCTCTCCTCTCTCTCCTCCCCCCCCTCTCTCCCCTCTCTCTCCTCTCTCTCCCCTCCCCTCCCCCCCTCTCCTCTCTCTCCCCTCCCCCCTCTCCTCTCTCTCCTATCTCCTCTCCCCCTCTCTCCCCCTCTCTCTCCCCTCTCTCTCCTCTCTCTCCCCCTCTCCCCCTCTCTTTCCTCACCTCATGGTGTAGAGGAGGGTGCCGTTGTCGCGCAGCCGCAGCAGTTTGTTGGGCGTGGTCATGTTGTGTGCGATGGACTTCTTCCCGTTGAGGAAGAAGGTGTCCGGGGTCCAGATGTTGCTGGCCAGGAGGTTGTTCAGGGCCAGCATCTCCATGGGGCCTTTGAACCGCAGCCTCTCGTCTCTCCAGCTCTGACGGAAAAACACGTCGATGGTGTACTCCTGCATGGACACAGTTCATATCACAGATTATCCATTCAATTCAGTTATCTTTATTGACAAGACATTTACAAAACGTTTACGAGACATTTTAGTTTCTGAAGTTTGTAGGTGTAGGAGACCAGAGTGAGAGACCAAAGAGAGAGACCAGAGTGAGACCAGGGCGGGTGTGAGACTTTGTGGACTCACCATCTCGGTGTCGGAAACGGGGCCGAAGCTCGTTACAAAAATATTAGTCTTGATCTCTGTGACATTCTCTGCAAAGACAGAAGAAGAAGAAGAAGAAAGAGTCACTGGAGGAAAGACACTGCAATACCTCACTCCACCACCGGGGGCAGCGAGCAGATGTGTTTTTGTGTTTTTAGCTTGTACTTTAATGCTGTAAGGGCTGAGGACTGAGGCTGTAGACCAGGACTGAGGCTGTAGATCCAGGACTGAGGCTGTAGACCCAGGACTGAGGCTGTAGACCCAGGACTGAGGCTGTAGACCCAGGACTGAGGCTGTAGACCCAGGACTGAGGCTGTAGACCCAGGACTGAGGCTGTAGACCCAGGACTGAGGCTGTAGACCCAGGACTGAGGGTGATCCAGATTTTATCATTGCATTTCTCGTGTTTGAACTGTTTGATGGATAATTCAGCACTTTTTGTAAAGTCCTCAAAGATAAATACTGTTGTGATTTAGGGCGATACAAGAATACATTCAATTGAAGTGATTTGAATCAAAATAGTCAATCCTGCAGTTAATAAATGTGTGGCTTTTGGAAGGCGTCTCTCTGTGAAATCTGGTCTCTCTCTGGTCTCTCTCTGGTCTCTCTCTGGTCTCTCTCTGGTCTCTCTCTGGTCTCTCTCTGGTCTCTCTCTGGTCACTCTCTGGTCTCTCTCTGGTCTCTCTCTGGTCTCTCTCTGGTCTCTCTCTGGTCTCTCTCTGGTCTCTCTCTGGTCTCTCTCTGGTCTCTCTCTGGTCTCTCTGTGGTGATCTGGAGGCTCACAGAGAGAACAGGACTCTGCTGCGAACCGAAGACCAACCGTCTTTGTTTCGACTCTTTAGAAGCAGAAAGCCTCCAAGGTTATCGGTGGTTGCCACGGCGAGAAGGGATAAGTCTCGGAGATGGAGAGAATGACTTACAGAGGCCCACAATGGCTTTTGTGTTTGCTACAAGGCCCGCCACCCGCCTTCTCTCTCTCTCTGTGGCATCTACAGCGTCTGACCCACACTCTCTCTCTCTGTGGCATCTACAGCGTCTGACCCACACTCTCTCTGTGGCATCTACAGCGTCTGACCCACACTCTCTCTCTCTGTGGCATCTACAGCGTCTGACCCACACTCTCTCTCTCTGTGGCATCTACAGCGTCTGACCCACACTCTCTCTGTGGCATCTACAGCGTCTGACCCACTCTCTCTCTCTCTGTGGCATCTACAGCGTCTGACCCACACTCTCTCTGTGGCATCTACAGCGTCTGACCCACTCTCTCTCTCTCTGTGGCATCTACAGCGTCTGACCCACTCTCTCTCTCTCTGTGGCATCTACAGCGTCTGACCCACACTCTCTCTCTCTGTGGCATCTACAGCGTCTGACCCACACTCTCTCTCTCTGTGGCATCTACAGCGTCTGACCCACACTCTCTCTCTCTGTGGCATCTACAGCGTCTGACCCACACTCTCTCTGTGGCATCTACAGCGTCTGACCCACTCTCTCTCTCTCTGTGGCATCTACAGCGTCTGACCCACACTCTCTCACTCTGTGGCATCTACAGCGTCTGACCCACACTCTCTCTGTGGCATCTACAGCGTCTGACCCACTCTCTCTCTCTCTGTGGCATCTACAGCGTCTGACCCACACTCTCTCTGTGGCATCTACAGCGTCTGACCCACACTCTCTCTCTCTGTGGCATCTACAGCGTCTGACCCACACTCTCTCTGTGGCATCTACAGCGTCTGACCCACTCTCTCTCTCTCTGTGGCATCTACAGCGTCTGACCCACACTCTCTCTCTCTGTGGCATCTACAGCGTCTGACCCACACTCTCTCACTCTGTGGCATCTACAGCGTCTGACCCACTCTCTCTCTGTGGCATCTACAGCGTCTGACCCACACTCTCTCTCTGTGGCATCTACAGCGTCTGACCCACACTCTCTCTGTGGCATCTACAGCGTCTGACCCACACTCTCTCTGTGGCATCTACAGCGTCTGACCCACACTCTCTCTCTCTGTGGCATCTACAGCGTCTGACCCACACTCTCTCTGTGGCATCTACAGCGTCTGACCCACACTCTCTCTGTGGCATCTACAGCGTCTGACCCACACTCGCTCTGTAGCATCTACAGCGTCTGACCCACACTCTCTGTGGCATCTACAGCGTCTGACCCACTCTCTCTCTGTGGCATCTACAGCGTCTGACCCACACTCTCTCTGTGGCATCTACAGCGTCTGACCCACACTCTCTCTGTGGCATCTACAGCGTCTGACCCACACTCTCTCTGTGGCATCTACAGCGTCTGACCACACTCTCTCTGTAGCATCTACAGCGTCTGACCCACACTCTCTGTGGCATCTACAGTGTCTGACCCACTCTCTCTCTGTGGCATCTACAGCGTCTGACCCACACTCTCTCTCTGTGGCATCTACAGCGTCTGACCCACACTCTCTCTCTCTGTGGCATCTACAGCGTCTGACCCACACTCTCTCTCTGTGGCATCTACAGCGTCTGACCCACACTCTCTCTGTGGCATCTACAGCGTCTGACCCACACTCTCTCTGTGGCATCTACAGCGTCTGACCCACACTCTCTCTCTCTGTGGCATCTACAGCGTCTGACCCACACTCTCTGTGGCATCTACAGCGTCTGACCCACTCTCTCTCTGCGGCATCTACAGCGTCTGACCCACACTCTCTCTGTGGCATCTACAGCGTCTGACCCACACTCTCTCTGTGGCATCTACAGCGTCTGACCCACACTCTCTCTCTCTGTGGCATCTACAGCGTCTGACCCACTCTCTCTCTCTCTGTGGTATCTACAGCGTCTGACCCACACTCTCTCTCTCTGTGGCATCTACAGCGTCTGACCCACTCACTCTCTGTGGCATCTACAGCGTCTGACCCACACTCTCTGTGGCATCTACAGCGTCTGACCCACACACTCTCTCTGTAGCATCTACAGCGTCTGACCCACTCTCTCTCTCTGTAGCATCTACAGCGTCTGACCCACTCTCTCTCTCTCTGTGGCATCTACAGCGTCTGACCCACACTCTCTCTCTCTGTGGCATCTACAGCGTCTGACCCACACTCTCTCTCTGTGGCATCTACAGCGTCTGACCCACACTCTCTCTGTGGCATCTACAGCGTCTGACCCACACTCTCTCTCTCTGTGGCATCTACAGCGTCTGACCCACACTCTCTGTGGCATCTACAGCGTCTGACCCACTCTCTCTCTGTGTGGCATCTACAGCGTCTGACCCACACTCTCTCTGTGGCATCTACAGCGTCTGACCCACACTCTCTCTCTCTGTGGCATCTACAGCGTCTGACTCACACTCTCTCTCTCTGTGGCATCTACAGCGTCTGACCCACTCTCTCTCTGTGGCATCTACAGCGTCTGACCCACACTCTCTGTGGCATCTACAGCGTCTGACCCACACACTCTCTCTGTAGCATCTACAGCGGCTGACCCACACTCTCTCTGTGGCATCTACAGCGTCTGACCCACTCTCTCTCTGTGGCATCTACAGCGTCTGACCCACACTCTCTCTCTCTGTGGCATCTACAGCGTCTGACCCACACTCTCTCTCTCTGTGGCATCTACAGCGTCTGACCCACACTCTCTCTCTCTGTGGCATCTACAGCGTCTGACCCACACTCTCTGTGGCATCTACAGCGTCTGACCCACACTCTCTCTCTCTGTGGCATCTACAGCGTCTGACCCACTCTCTCTCTGTGGCATCTACAGCGTCTGACCCACACTCTCTCTCTCTGTGGCATCTACAGCGTCTGTCCCACACTCTCTGTGGCATCTACAGCGTCTGACCCACACTCTCTCTCTGTGGCATCTACAGCGTCTGACCCACACTCTCTCTGTGGCATCTACAGCGTCTGACCCACACTCTCTCTCTCTGTGGCATCTACAGCGTCTGACCCACACTCTCTGTGGCATCTACAGCGTCTGACCCACTCTCTCTCTGTGGCATCTACAGCGTCTGACCCACACCCTCTCTGTGGCATCTACAGCGTCTGACCCACACTCTCTCTCTCTGTGGCATCTACAGCGTCTGACCCACACTCTCTCTGTGGCATCTACAGCGTCTGACCCACTCTCTCTCTCTCTGTGGCATCTACAGCGTCTGACCCACACTCTCTCTGTGGCATCTACAGCGTCTGACCCACTCTCTCTCTCTGTGGCATCTACAGCGTCTGACCCACACTCTCTCTGTGGCATCTACAGCGTCTGACCCACACTCTCTCTCTCTGTGGCATCTACAGCGTCTGACCCACACTCTCTCTCTCTGTGGCATCTACAGCGTCTGACCCACTCTCTCTCTGTGGCATCTACAGCGTCTGACCCACACTCTCTCTCTGTGGCATCTACAGCGTCTGACCCACTCTCTCTCTCTGTGGCATCTACAGCGTCTGACCCACACTCTCTGTGGCATCTACAGCGTCTGACCCACACACTCTCTCTGTAGCATCTACAGCGGCTGACCCACACTCTCTCTGTAGCATCTACAGCGGCTGACCCACACTCTCTGTGGCATCTACAGCGTCTGACCCACTCTCTCTCTCCTCTCTCTCTCTGTCTCCAGCGTCTGACCCACACTCTCTCTCGTCATCTACCCTGACTCTCTCTCTCGTCTCCCCCCCACTCTCTCTCTCGTCTCCCTCTCACTCTCTCTCCCCACTCTCTCTCCCCCACTCTCTCTCTCTGTCTCCCCCCACTCTCTCCCTTCACTCTCCCCCCACTCTCTCGTCTCCCCCACTCTCTCTCGTCTGACCCACTCTCTCTCGTCCCCCACTCTCTCTCTCGTCTCCCCCACTCTCTCTCTCATCTCTCCCCACTCTCTCTCTCTTCTCATCTCCCCACTCTCTCTCTCATCTCCCCCACTCTCTCTCTCTCTGTCCCCCCACTCTCTCTCTCGTCTCCCCCCTCTCTCTCTCTCTCCTCTCCCCCCCTCTCTCTCTCTCATCTCCCCCGTCTCTCTCTCATCTCCTCCTCCCTCACTCTCTCTCTCGTCTCCCCCACTCTCTCTCGTCTTCCCTGCTCTCTCTCTCGTCTTTCCTGCTCTCTCTCTCGTCTCCCCACTCTCTCTCTCGTCTCCCCTGCTCTCTCTCGTCTCCCCACTCTCTTCTCGTCTCCCCCACTCTCTCTCTCGTCTCCCCCACTCTCTCTCGTCTCCCCCACTCTCTCTCGTCTCCCCCACTCTCTTTCTCATCTCCCCCCACTCTCTCTCTCGTCTCCCCCACTCTCTCTCTCATCTCCCCACTCTCTCTCGTCTCCCCACTCTCTCTCTCATCTCCCCCACTCTCTCTCTCGTCTCCCCACTCTCTCTCTCATCTCCCCCACTCTCTCTCTCTCGTCTTCCCTGCTCTCTCTCTCGTCTCCCCACCCTCTCTCTCGTCTCCCCCACCCTCTCTCTCATCTCCCCCGCTCTCTCTCTCGTCTCCCCCACTCTCTCTCTCGTCTTCCCTGCTCTCGCTCTCGTCTTTCCTGCTCTCGCTCTCGTCTCCCCCACTCTCTCTCTCGTCTCCCTGCTCTCTCTCTCGTCTCCCCCACTCTCTCTCTCGTCTCCCCCCACTCTCTCTCTCGTCTCCCCCACTCTCTCTCGTCTCCCCCACTCTCTCTCGTCTCCCCCACTCTCTCTCTCATCTCCCCCACTCTCTCTCTCGTCTCCCCCACTCTCTCTCTCATCTCCCCCACTCTCTCTCTCTCGTCTCCCCCACTCTCTCTCTCATCTCCCCCACTCTCTCTCTCTTGTCTCCCCCACTCTCTCTCTCGTCTCCCTGCTCTCTCTCTCGTCTCCCCCGCTCTCTCTCTCTCTCTCCCCTCTCTCTCCTCTCTCTCCTCTCTCTCTCTCTCTCTCTCCTCTTCTCTCTCTTCTCTCTCCTCTCTCTCCTCTCCCCCCACCCTCTCTCTCGTCTCCCCCACCCTCTCTCATCTCTCCCCCCGCTCTCTCTCTCGTCTCCCCCACTCTCTCTCTCGTCTCCCCCACTCTCTCTCTCGTCTTCCCTGCTCTCTCTCTCGTCTTTCCTGCTCTCTCTCTCGTCTCCCCCACTCTCTCTCTCGTCTCCCTGCTCTCTCTCGTCTCCCCCACTCTCTCTCTCGTCTCCCCCACTCTCTCTCTCGTCTCCCCCACTCTCTCTCGTCTCCCCCACTCTCTCTCTCTCCCCCACTCTCTTCTCATCTCCCCCACTCTCTCTCTCGTCTCCCCCACTCTCTCTCTCATCTCCCCCACTCTCTCTCGTCTCCCCCACTCTCTCTCTCATCTCCCCCACTCTCTCTCTCGTCTCCCCCACTCTCTCTCTCATCTCCCCCACTCTCTCTCTCTCGTCTTCCCTGCTCTCTCTCTCGTCTCCCCACCCTCTCTCTCGTCTCCCCCCCCCTCTCTCTCATCTCCCCCCGCTCTCTCTCTCGTCTCCCCCACTCTCTCTCTCGTCTTCCCTGCTCTCTCTCTCGTCTTTCCTGCTCTCTCTCTCGTCTCCCCCACTCTCTCTCTCGTCTCCCCTGCTCTCTCTCGTCTCCCCCACTCTCTCTCTCGTCTCCCCCACTCTCTCTCTCTCGTCTCCCCCACTCTCTCTCGTCTCCCCCACTCTCTCTCGTCTCCCCCACTCTCTCTCTCATCTCCCCCACTCTCTCTCTCGTCTCCCCCACTCTCTCTCTCATCTCCCCCACTCTCTCTCTCTCGTCTCCCCACTCTCTCTCTCATCTCCCCCACTCTCTCTCTCTTGTCTCCCCCACTCTCTCTCTCGTCTTCCCTGCTCTCTCTCTCGTCTCCCCGCTCTCTCTCTCATCTCCCCCGCTCTCTCTCTCGTCTCCCCCACTCTCTCTCTCGTCTTCCCTGCTCTCTCTCTCGTCTTCCCTGCTCTCTCTCTCGTCTCCCCACCCTCTCTCTCGTCTCCCCCACCCTCTCTCTCATCTCCCCCCGCTCTCTCTCTCGTCTCCCCCACTCTCTCTCTCGTCTCCCCCACTCTCTCTCTCGTCTTCCCTGCTCTCTCTCTCGTCTTTCCTGCTCTCTCTCTCGTCTCCCCCACTCTCTCTCTCGTCTCCCCTGCTCTCTCTCGTCTCCCCCACTCTCTCTCTCGTCTCCCCCACTCTCTCTCTCGTCTCCCCCACTCTCTCTCGTCTCCCCCACTCTCTCTCGTCTCCCCCACTCTCTTTCTCATCTCCCCCACTCTCTCTCTCGTCTCCCCCACTCTCTCTCTCATCTCCCCCACTCTCTCTCGTCTCCCCACTCTCTCTCTCATCTCCCCCACTCTCTCTCTCGTCTCCCCACTCTCTCTCTCATCTCCCCCACTCTCTCTCTCTCGTCTTCCCTGCTCTCTCTCTCGTCTCCCCCACCTCTCTCTCTCGTCTCCCCCACCCTCTCTCTCATCTCCCCCCGCTCTCTCTCTCGTCTCCCCCACTCTCTCTCTCGTCTTCCCTGCTCTCTCTCTCGTCTTTCCTGCTCTCTCTCTCGTCTCCCCCACTCTCTCTCTCGTCTCCCCTGCTCTCTCTCGTCTCCCCCACTCTCTCTCTCGTCTCCCCCACTCTCTCTCTCGTCTCCCCCACTCTCTCTCGTCTCCCCCATCTCTCTCGTCTCCCCCACTCTCTCTCTCTCATCTCCCCACTCTCTCTCTCGTCTCCCCCACTCTCTCTCTCATCTCCCCCACTCTCTCTCTCTCGTCTCCCCCACTCTCTCTCTCATCTCCCCACTCTCTCTCTCTTGTCTCCCCCACTCTCTCTCTCGTCTTCCCTGCTCTCTCTCTCGTCTCCCCCGCTCTCTCTCTCATCTCCCCCCCGCTCTCTCTCTCGTCTCCCCCACTCTCTCTCTCGTCTTCCCTGCTCTCTCTCTCGTCTTCCCTGCTCTCTCTCTCGTCTCCCCCACCCTCTCTCTCGTCTCCCCCACCCTCTCTCTCATCTCCCCCCGCTCTCTCTCTCGTCTCCCCCACTCTCTCTCTCGTCTTCCCTGCTCTCTCTCTCGTCTTCCCTGCTCTCTCTCTCGTCTCCCCCCACTCTCTCTCTCGTCTTCCCTGCTCTCTCACTCGTCTTCCCTGCTCTCTCTCTCATCTCCCCCCGCTCTCTCTCTCGTCTCCCCCACTCTCTCTCTCGTCTTCCCTGCTCTCTCTCTCGTCTTCCCTGCTCTCTCTCTCGTCTCCCCCACCCTCTCTCTCGTCTCCCCCACCCTCTCTCTCATCTCCCCCCGCTCTCTCTCTCGTCTCCCCCACTCTCTCTCTCGTCTTCCCTGCTCTCTCACTCGTCTTCCCTGCTCTCTCTCTCATCTCCCCCGCTCTCTCTCTCGTCTTCCCTGCTCTCTCACTCGTCTTCCCTGCTCTCTCTCTCGTCTCCCCCGCTCTCTCTCTCATCTCCCCCCGCTCTCTCTCTCGTCTCCCCCACTCTCTCTCTCGTCTTCTCTGCTCTCTCACGTATAACAAACACAAGACAAAGGCTTCCAGGCTTGTTTTCCGCAAATCTAACGTGTCTCCAAACCTCCCAATGACCTCCCAATGACCTCCCAATGACCTCCCAATGACCTCCCTGACTCTGAGAAACACTGTTCCCACTGACTCTGTGTAAAGTGTCTAAAGTTAGTGTTTGGTCCAACACTCGCTCTGATTCAACGCGGTCTTGCTCGAATATTTAGTTTTTTGGGGCCAGGGAGGTAGTCTGACATGTCTGCCAACTAGTGGCAGGGAGTGTGAATGAATTTTGACACTCAGTTGGTCACACTCGGCCGTTTTAAACAGTACCACAGCTTGTTGACTTAAGTCGACCGTGGCGCCTAGAGGGTTAATCCAGTCCACAGAGCACCAGCCCCTCACTGATCCTCCTGCAGGTACTGAGTCCACAGGAGCTGACCAGAACTCACACACTTCTATTCTTTGTGAACTCTTGTTGTGTGTATATGACTCAGTGCTGCCCCCTGTGGTCACAGGCATCGACACCGCGAGGGCAGGGAGTTCCGGAGCGTCTCACCCCACAGCGAGCTGCTCCGGGACGGGCAACACGAACATCGCAAGTCCAGGACCCACCGGAGATCCAGGGAACCAGAGGAGGGACGCAGACACCGCTCCAAGTGTGGAGAGGGGGAGGGGGAGAAGGAGGGGGAGGGCAGGAAGGGGAGGAGGCACCGCCGTCGCAAGAGGTCAGCCCCTTCTGTGTAGATGATCTGTTTTCAAACTCAGTCCTGTCCATGTTAGCATGTGATACTACTGTCCATGTTAGCATGTGATACTACTGTCCATGTTAGCATGTGATACTACTGTCCATGTTAGCATGTGTTACTACTGTCCATGTTAGCATGTGATATTACTGTCCATGTTAGCATGTGATACTACTGTCCATGTTAGCATGTGATACTACTGTCCATGTTAGCATGTGATACTACTGTCCATGTTAGCATGTGATAATTCCATACATGCTAGCATATGATGCTGCTGTACATGTTAGCAGTAGCTCTCCAGTTCTCCTTCAGGTTCTCAGCTCTCTTACAGCCCCTAACCCTGTCCTCCTGTGTCCACAGAGAGCACCACAGCCTGGGCCTGTCCACCACTCGCCCCATCCAGCAGTACAACGAGTCCCTGGACAACCTCCGCAACAATAGCAGACTGTGCGAGCTGCCCTACACCTTACCCCCGGACCACCCGGACCACCTCAACAACCTGCTGAACGCCAGGGACTCGGACACTCACACTCTGCTGCACAGCATGGACAGCCTCATCCTCACCAGCCTCGCCAAACCAGAGTACACAGCCATCCACATGCCCCCAGTGTACCCCTACCCCTCCACCAACGCCATCCTGCAAGGTCAGCAGCTGTGCATGACCGCAAACTTAGAGCTACGGTAGAGCTAAGGTAGAGCTATGTTAGAGCTATGTTAGAGCTACGGTAGAGCTACGGTAGAGCTAAGGTAGAGCTATGTTAGAGCTATGTTAGAGCTACGGTAGAGCTACGGTAGAGCTAAGGTAGAGCTATGTTAGAGCTATGTTAGAGCTACGGTAGAGCTACGGTAGAGCTACGGTAGAGCTACGGTAGAGCTACGGTAGAGCTACGGTAGAGCTACGGTAGAGCTACGGTAGAGCTAAGGTAGAGCTATGTTAGAGCTACGGTAGAGCTACGGTAGAGCTAAGGTAGAGCTATGTTAGAGCTATGTTAGAGCTATGTTAGAGCTACGGTAGAGCTACGGTAGAGCTACGGTAGAGCTAAGGTAGAGCTATGTTAGAGCTACGGTAGAGCTACGGTAGAGCTACGGTAGAGCTATGTTAGAGCTATGTTAGAGCTACGGTAGGGCTAAGGTAGAGCTATGTTAGAGCTACGGTAGAGCTACGGTAGAGCTACGGTAGAGCTATGTTAGAGCTATGTTAGAGCTACGGTAGGGCTAAGGTAGAGCTAGGTCAGAGCTACGGTAGAGCTACGGTAGAGCTACGGTAGAGCTACGGTAGGGCTACGGTAGAGCTAGGTCAGAGCTACGGTAGAGCTATGGTAGAGCTACGGTAGAGCTATGTTAGAGCTAAGGTAGGGCTAAGGTAGCGCTACGGTAGAGCTATGTTAGAGCTATGTTAGAGCTACAGTAGAGCTAAGGTCAGAGCTACGGTAGAGCTATGTTAGAGCTATGTTAGAGCTACGGTAGAGCTACGGTAGAGCTACGGTAGAGCTAAGGTAGAGCTATGTTAGAGCTATGTTAGAGCTATGTTAGAGCTACGGTAGAGCTACGGTAGAGCTAAGGTAGAGCTATGTTAGAGCTATGTTAGAGCTATGTTAGAGCTACGGTAGAGCTACGGTAGAGCTACGGTAGAGCTAAGGTAGAGCTATGTTAGAGCTACGGTAGAGCTACGGTAGAGCTACGGTAGAGCTATGTTAGAGCTATGTTAGAGCTACGGTAGGGCTAAGGTAGAGCTATGTTAGAGCTACGGTAGAGCTACGGTAGAGCTACGGTAGAGCTATGTTAGAGCTATGTTAGAGCTACGGTAGGGCTAAGGTAGAGCTAGGTCAGAGCTACGGTAGAGCTACGGTAGAGCTACGGTAGAGCTACGGTAGGGCTACGGTAGAGCTAGGTCAGAGCTACGGTAGAGCTATGGTAGAGCTACGGTAGAGCTATGTTAGAGCTAAGGTAGGGCTAAGGTAGCGCTACGGTAGAGCTATGTTAGAGCTATGTTAGAGCTACAGTAGAGCTAAGGTCAGAGCTACGGTAGAGCTATGTTAGAGCTATGTTAGAGCTACGGTAGAGCTACGGTAGAGCTACGGTAGAGCTAAGGTAGAGCTATGTTAGAGCTATGTTAGAGCTATGTTAGAGCTACGGTAGAGCTACGGTAGAGCTACGGTAGAGCTAAGGTAGAGCTATGTTAGAGCTATGTTAGAGCTACGGTAGAGCTACGGTAGAGCTAAGGTAGAGCTATGTTAGAGCTATGTTAGAGCTATGTTAGAGCTACGGTAGAGCTACGGTAGAGCTACGGTAGAGCTAAGGTAGAGCTATGTTAGAGCTATGTTAGAGCTACGGTAGAGCTACGGTAGAGCTACGGTAGAGCTATGTTAGAGCTATGTTAGAGCTACGGTAGGGCTAAGGTAGAGCTATGTTAGAGCTACGGTAGAGCTACGGTAGAGCTACGGTAGAGCTATGTTAGAGCTATGTTAGAGCTACGGTAGAGCTAAGGTAGAGCTAGGTCAGAGCTACGGTAGAGCTACGGTAGAGCTACGGTAGAGCTACGGTAGGGCTACGGTAGAGCTAGGTCAGAGCTACGGTAGAGCTATGGTAGAGCTACGGTAGAGCTATGTTAGAGCTAAGGTAGGGCTAAGGTAGCGCTACGGTAGAGCTATGTTAGAGCTATGTTAGAGCTACAGTAGAGCTAAGGTCAGAGCTACGGTAGAGCTATGTTAGAGCTATGTTAGAGCTACGGTAGAGCTACGGTAGAGCTATGTTGGAGAGCCAAGTCAGTCTCGGCCTCAGTCTCGGCCTCAGTCTCTGCTTCAGTCTCTGCTTCAGTCTCTGCTTCAGTCTCTGCTTCAGTCTCTGCTTCAGTCTCTGCTTCAGTCTCTGCTTCAGTCTCTGCTTCAGTCTCTGCCTCAGTCTCTGCCTCAGTCTCTGCTTCAGTCTCTGCTTCAGTCTCTGCTTCAGTCTCTGCCTCAGTCTCTGCTTCAGTCTCTGCTTCAGTCTCTGCCTCAGTCTCTGCTTCAGTCTCTGCCTCAGTCTCTGCTTCAGTCTCTGCTTCAGTCTCTGCCTCAGTCTCTGCCTCAGTCTCTGCTTCAGTCTCTGCTTCAGTCTCTGCTTCAGTCTCTGCTTCAGTCTCTGCCTCAGTCTCTGCTTCAGTCTCTGCTTCAGTCTCTGCTTCAGTCTCTGCTTCAGTCTCTCTGCTTCAGTCTCTGCTTCAGTCTCTGCTTCAGTCTCTGCTCAGTCTCTGCTTCAGTCTCTGCCTCAGTCTCTGCTTCAGTCTCTGCCTCAGTCTCTGCCTCAGTCTCTGCTTCAGTCTCTGCTTCAGTCTCTGCTTCAGTCTCTGCTTCAGTCTCTGCCTCAGTCTCTGCCTCAGTCTCTGCCTCAGTCTCTGCTCAGTCTCTGCTTCAGTCTCTGCTTCAGTCTCTGCTTCAGTCTCTGCTTCAGTCTCTGCCTCAGTCTCTGCTTCAGTCTCTGCTTCAGTCTCTGCTTCAGTCTCTGCTTCAGTCTCTGCCTCAGTCTCTGCTCAGTCTCTGCTTCAGTCTCTGCTTCAGTCTCTGCTTCAGTCTCTGCTTCAGTCTCTGCTTCAGTCTCTGCTTCAGTCTCTGCTCAGTCTCTGCCTCAGTCTCTGCCGTCTCTGCTCAGTCTCTGCCTCAGTCTCTGCTTCAGTCTCTGCCTCAGTCTCTGCTTCAGTCTCTGCCTCAGTCTCTGCCTCAGTCTCTGCCTCAGTCTCTGCTTCAGTCTCTGCTTCAGTCTCTGCCTCAGTCTCTGCTTCAGTCTCTGCCTCAGTCTCTGCTTCAGTCTCTCAGTCTCTGCCTCAGTCTCTGCCTCAGTCTCTGCCTCAGTCTCTGCCTCAGTCTCTGCTTCAGTCTCTGCTTCAGTCTCTGCTTCAGTCTCTGCTTCAGTCTCTGCTCAGTCTCTGCTCAGTCTCTGCCTCAGTCTCTGCTTCAGTCTCTGCTTCAGTCTCTGCCTCAGTCTCTGCCTCAGTCTCTGCTTCAGTCTCTGCCTCAGTCTCTGCTTCAGTCTCTGCTTCAGTCTCTGCCTCAGTCTCTGCCTCAGTCTCTGCCTCAGTCTCTGCTTCAGTCTCTGCTTCAGTCTCTGCTTCAGTCTCTGCCTCAGTCTCTGCTTCAGTCTCTGCTTCAGTCTCTGCTTCAGTCTCTGCTTCAGTCTCTGCTCAGTCTCTGCTTCAGTCTCTGCCTCAGTCTCTGCCTCAGTCTCTGCCTCAGTCTCTGCCTCAGTCTCTGCCTCAGTCTCTGCTTCAGTCTCTGCTTCAGTCTCTGCTTCAGTCTCTGCCTCAGTCTCTGCTTCAGTCTCTGCCTCAGTCTCTGCTTCAGTCTCTGCCTCAGTCTCTGCCTCAGTCTCTGCCTCAGTCTCTGCTTCAGTCTCTGCCTCAGTCTCTGCTTCAGTCTCTGCTTCAGTCTCTGCCTCAGTCTCTGCTTCAGTCTCTGCCTCAGTCTCTGCTTCAGTCTCGGCCTCAGTCTCTGCTTCAGTCTCTGCTTCAGTCTCTGCCTCAGTCTCTGCTTCAGTCTCTGCTTCAGTCTCTGCCTCAGTCTCTGCTTCAGTCTCTGCCTCAGTCTCTGCTTCAGTCTCGGCCTCAGTCTCTGCTTCAGTCTCTGCTTCAGTCTCTGCCTCAGTCTCTGCTTCAGTCTCTGCCTCAGTCTCTGCTTCAGTCTCTGCCTCAGTCTCTGCTTCAGTCTCTGCCTCAGTCTCTGCTTCAGTCTCTGCTTCAGTCTCTGCCTCAGTCTCTGCTTCAGTCTCTGCCTCAGTCTCGGCCTCAGTCTCTGCTTCAGTCTCTGCTTCAGTCTGCTCAGTCTCTGCTCAGTCTCTGCTTCAGTCTCTGCTTCAGTCTCTGCCTCAGTCTCGGCTCAGTCTCTGCTTCAGTCTCTGCTTCAGTCTCTGCTTCAGTCTCTGCTTCAGTCTCTGCTTCAGTCTCTGCTTCAGTCTCTGCCTCAGTCTCTGCCTCAGTCTCTGCTTCAGTCTCTGCCTCAGTCTCTGCTTCAGTCTCTGCTTCAGTCTCTGCCTCAGTCTCTGCCTCAGTCTCGGCCTCAGTCTCTGCCTCAGTCTCGGCCTCAGTCTCTGCCTCAGTCTCTGCTTCAGTCTCTGCTTCAGTCTCTGCCTCAGTCTCTGCCTCAGTCTCTGCCTCAGTCTCTGCTTCAGTCTCTGCCTCAGTCTCTGCTTCAGTCTCTGCTTCAGTCTCTGCTTCAGTCTCTGCCTCAGTCTCTGCCTCAGTCTATGCTTCAGTCTCTGCCTCAGTCTCTGCTTCAGTCTCTGCCTCAGTCTCTGCCTCAGTCTCTGCCTCAGTCTCTGCTTCAGTCTCTGCTTCAGTCTCTGCTTCAGTCTCTGCCTCAGTCTCTGCTTCAGTCTCTGCCTCAGTCTCTGCTTCAGTCTCTGCTTCAGTCTCTGCCTCAGTCTCTGCCTCAGTCTCTGCTTCAGTCTTGCTTCAGTCTCTGCTGTCTCTGCTTCAGTCTCTGCCTCAGTCTCTGCCTCAGTCTCTGCTTCAGTCTCTGCTTCAGTCTCTGCTTCAGTCTCTGCTCAGTCTCTGCTTCAGTCTCTGCTCAGTCTCTGCTTCAGTCTCTGCCTCAGTCTCTGCTTCAGTCTCTGCCTCAGTCTCTGCTTCAGTCTCTGCTTCAGTCTCTGCTCAGTCTCTGCTTCAGTCTCTGCTCAGTCTCTGCCTCAGTCTCTGCTTCAGTCTCTGCTTCAGTCTCTGCTTCAGTCTCTGCTCAGTCTCTGCTTCAGTCTCTGCTCAGTCTCTGCTTCAGTCTCTGCTTCAGTCTCTGCTTCAGTCTCTGCTTCAGTCTCTGCTTCAGTCTCTGCTTCAGTCTCTGCTTCAGTCTCTGCTTCAGTCTCTGCTCAGTCTCTGCTCAGTCTCTGCTCAGTCTCTGCTCAGTCTCTGCTCAGTCTCTGCTCAGTCTCTGCTTCAGTCTCTGCTTCAGTCTCTGCCTCAGTCTCTGCCTCAGTCTCGGCCTCAGTCTCTGCCTCAGTCTCTGCTTCAGTCTCTGATTCAGTCTCTGCCTCAGTCTCTGCCTCAGTCTCTGCCTCAGTCTCTGCTTCAGTCTCTGCCTCAGTCTCTGCCTCAGTCTCTGCTTCAGTCTCTGCCTCAGTCTCTGCTTCAGTCTCTGCCTCAGTCTCTGCCTCAGTCTCTGCTTCAGTCTCTGCTTCAGTCTCTGCCTCAGTCTCTGCCTCAGTCTCTGCTTCAGTCTCTGCCTCAGTCTCTGCCTCAGTCTCGGCCTCAGTCTCTGCTTCAGTCTCTGCTTCAGTCTCTGCCTCAGTCTCTGCTTCAGTCTCTGCCTCAGTCTCTGCTTCAGTCTCTGCCTCAGTCTCTGCCTCAGTCTCTGCTTCAGTCTCTGCTTCAGTCTCTGCTTCAGTCTCTGCCTCAGTCTCTGCCTCAGTCTCTGCCTCAGTCTCTGCTTCAGTCTCTGCCTCAGTCTCTGCTTCAGTCTCTGCCTCAGTCTCTGCTTCAGTCTCTGCTTCAGTCTCTGCTTCAGTCTCTGCTTCAGTCTCTGCCTCAGTCTCTGCTTCAATCTCTGCTTCAGTCTCTGCCTCAGTCTCTGCTTCAGTCTCTGCCTCAGTCTCTGCCTCAGTCTCTGCCTCAGTCTCTGCTAGTCTCTGCAGTCTCTGCCTCAGTCTCTGCTCAGTCTCTGCCTCAGTCTCTGCCTCAGTCTCTGCTCAGTCTCTGCTCAGTCTCTGCTCAGTCTCTGCTTCAGTCTCTGCTCTCAGTCTCTGCTTCAGTCTCTGCTTCTCAGTCTCTGCTTCAGTCTCTGCTTCAGTCTCTGCTGCTTCAGTCTCTGCTTCAGTCTCTGCTTCAGTCTCTGCTTCAGTCTCTGCTTCAGTCTCTGCTTCAGTCTCTGCTCTCAGTCTCTGCTCAGTCTCTGCTTCAGTCTCTGCTTCAGTCTCTGCTTCAGTCTCTGCTCAGTCTCTGCTTCAGTCTCTGCTTCAGTCTCTGCCTCAGTCTCTGCCTCAGTCTCTGCCTCAGTCTCTGCTTCAGTCTCTGCTCAGTCTCTCTCAGTCTCTGCCTCAGTCTCTACTTCAGTCTCTGCTTCAGTCTCTGCTTCAGTCTCTGCTTCAGTCTCTGCTTCAGTCTCTGCTTCAGTCTCTGCTCAGTCTCTGCTTCAGTCTCTGCTCAGTCTCTGCTTCAGTCTCTGCTCAGTCTCTGCCTCAGTCTCTGCTCAGTCTCTGCTTCAGTCTCTGCCTCAGTCTCTGCTCTCTGCTCTGCCTCAGTCTCTGCCTCAGTCTCTGCCTCAGTCTCTGCTTCAGTCTCTGCTTCAGTCTCTGCCTCAGTCTCTGCTTCAGTCTCTGCTTCAGTCTCTGCTTCAGTCTCTGCCTCAGTCTCTGCCTCAGTCTCTGCTTCAGTCTCTGCTTCAGTCTCTGCTTCAGTCTCTGCCTCAGTCTCTGCTTCAGTCTCTGCTTCAGTCTCTGCTTCAGTCTCTGCCTCAGTCTCTGCTTCAGTCTCTGCCTCAGTCTCTGCTTCAGTCTCTGCCTCAGTCTCTGCTTCAGTCTCTGCTTCAGTCTCTGCTTCAGTCTCTGCTTCAGTCTCTGCTTCAGTCTCTGCCTCAGTCTCTGCTTCAGTCTCATCTTGATGTTTTTTGGGGTTTTTCCAGTGAACAAAAACGCCAACACGGATCAGAAGAAACCAGAGGAGAAGGAGGACGAGGACGATGGAGGAGACGACGGACCCAAACGCATTCCCCCATACAGCTCCTGCTTCATCATGTCCACAACCAACCCGTAAGACCTGCTGTAGACCTGCTGTAGACCTACTGTAGACCTACTGTAGACCTACTGTAGACCTAAGGCTGTAGACCCAGGACTGAGGCTGTAGACCCAGGACTGAGCCTGTAGACCCAGGACTGAGCCTGTAGACCCAGGACTGAGCCTGTAGACCCAGGACTGAGCCTGTAGACCCAGGACTGAGCCTGTAGACCCAGGACTGAGCCTGTAGACCCAGGACTGAGGCTGTAGACCCAGGACTGAGCCTGTAGACCCAGGACTGAGCCTGTAGACCCAGGACTGAGCCTGTAGACCCAGGACTGAGCCTGTAGACCCTGACTCTCTTCTGTGTGTCCTGCAGGTTCCGTAAATGCTGCCACTACATCCTGACGCTGAAGTACTTTGAGTTCAGTATCCTGTCGGTCATCGCCATGAGCAGCATCGCACTGGCAGCAGAAGACCCAGTGTGGCCCGAGTCGCCACGCAACAATGTGAGCGATCTGGTCTCTCTCTGGTCTCTCTCTCTGGTCTCTCTCTCTGGTCTCTCTCTGGTCTCTCTCTCTGGTCTCTCTCTCTGGTCTCTCTCTGGTCTCTCTCTGGTCTCTCTCTGGTCTCTCTCTGGTCTCTCTCTGGTCTCTCTCTGGTCCCTCTCTGGTCTCTCTCTGCACTGTAAGAAATGAAATGTTGACTTTACTTAACTTTTTTATGGCAACCGGTTCCACGAAACTGTGTTGTTTAAATTGGAAATGCAAATCACAATTAATTTGAACACCAGATGTTAGATAAAGTATACTCAACATTCTCACTTTACAGTAACATGACAGTGTTAGATTGTATAAGCCCAACAACATTATGTTGGATTTACTAATCTCACATTGGTTCAACCAAACACTGTTAAGTTTGATCAACTTAACAGAAATTAATTATATTTATGTAGTGGGCTTGTGTTGATTCAACAAAACTAAAGTAGTAATGGCTACATTGTTAAGTTAAATAAATACAACATAAAGTGCTTATTTATATTCAAGCTTTTATTTAAACAGGTAATTTCTCTCCACCCATTTAACACATGTACCAACTCAAACATTTTAAATAAAAAATATACAATTAATTAAAAATGTAAAGTGCATAAATGATCCCATATTTAAATCAAAGTAACTTTTCATGAAACACTTTAATGTAAATACACATTGCAGAGCACTAGGAACTGCCTATTAAATGTCTTAAATAATAACAGTGGTTGTGTGTAGTTAATGTTTTCACTCTGAAAATTGGCTAAAGACTGCCAACAGAATTGCTAAACCCCAACAGCTACCCACCAAATGTATGTAGACCAACTAAACATTTGCTTTTAACTTTTACATTTGGGACTAAACTTTGAAATTAACAGCTACTTCCAAATTCTCGTCTGGAGTAAGAAGCAATGCAAAAACATGCAGTGAGTGAGTGAGCAAGTGAGTGTCGGTCCGTTTGAGTCTGTTCGTCTGTGTCTCCATCCGTCTATCTGCGTCCCTGTCTGTCCGTCTGTGTCCCTGTCCCTCTTTCAGTCTGTCTCCATCAGTCTGTGTCCCTGTCTGTCTCCATCAGTCTGTGTCCCTGTCTGTCCGTCTCCATCAGTCTGTGTCCCTGTCTGTCTCCATCAGTCTGTGTCCCTGTCTGTCCGTCTCCATCAGTCTGTGTCCCTGTCTGTCTCCATCAGTCTGTGTCCCTGTCTGTCCGTCTCCATCAGTCTGTGTTCCTGTCCGTCCGTCTCCATCAGTCTGTGTCCCTGTCTGTCTCCATCAGTCTGTGTCCCTGTCTGTCCGTCTCCATCAGTCTGTGTCCCTGTCTGTCTCCATCAGTCTGTGTCCCTGTCTGTCCGTCTCCATCAGTCTGTGTCCCTGTCTGTCTCCATCAGTCTGTGTCCCTGTCTGTCCGTCTCCATCAGTCTGTGTTCCTGTCCGTCCGTCTCCATCAGTCTGTGTCCCTGTCTGTCTCCATCAGTCTGTGTCCCTGTCTGTCCGTCTCCATCAGTCTGTGTCCCTGTCTGTCTCCATCAGTCTGTGTCCCTGTCTGTCCGTCTCCATCAGTCTGTGTCCCTGTCTGTCTCCATCAGTCTGTGTCCCTGTCTGTCCGTCTCCATCAGTCTGTGTTCCTGTCCGTCCGTCTCCATCAGTCTGTGTCCCTGTCTGTCTCCATCAGTCTGTGTCCCTGTCTGTCCGTCTCCATCAGTCTGTGTTCCTGTCCGTCCGTCTCCATCAGTCTGTGTCCCTGTCTGTCTCCATCAGTCTGTGTCCCTGTCTGTCCGTCTCCATCAGTCTGTGTCCCTGTCTGTCTCCATCAGTCTGTGTCCCTGTCTGTCCGTCTCCATCAGTCTGTGTCCCTGTCTGTCTCCATCAGTCTGTGTCCCTGTCTGTCCGTCTCCATCAGTCTGTGTTCCTGTCCGTCCGTCTGTGTCCCTGTCCGTCTCCATCAGTCTGTGTCCCTGTCTGTCCGTCTCCATCAGTCTGTGTTCCTGTCCGTCCGTCTCCATCAGTCTGTGTCCCTGTCTGTCTCCATCAGTCTGTGTCCCTGTCTGTCCGTCTCCATCAGTCTGTGTCCCTGTCTGTCTCCATCAGTCTGTGTCCCTGTCTGTCCGTCTCCATCAGTCTGTGTCCCTGTCTGTCTCCATCAGTCTGTGTCCCTGTCTGTCCGTCTCCATCAGTCTGTGTTCCTGTCCGTCCGTCTCCATCAGTCTGTGTCCCTGTCCGTCTCCATCAGTCTGTGTCCCTGGCCGTCCGTCTCCACTCTGTGTACCTGTCCGTCTGTGTGTCTAGGTCCATCCATCTGTGTATACTTTTTTCAAAAGAGTACATTTAAGCTAGTCTCAAGAGCACAGCACAACACACATAGTACAGGATGTATATCGAAGAGTCTTTTCAGCCTACAAAGTCCATTTCTTCTCTGTTGCATGTACGGTGTGATATCCACTGATGAAACATAGTCCAAACACATTTTGAAACAGTTAAGTCTTGATTAGATATGTTCGTGCAGTTTGTTTTTCAGAATTTGAACTTTGTTGGAGAGCTTTCTTCTGTCCACTTCCATTAATACCTTTGGAATAAATTCAAAAGTACATCCGAGTCCCTTTCGAGAGTTCATGTCCAGACAGTAGATTAATCCAAGAAGGAGCGCCCATCCAGTTGGAATGTGTTTTAGGTCTTGAAGAACTGCAATGCCATCGATGATTATTCCAAAGTCCTCCAATGAGTCTGATGCATCGGCATGTTGATGTTCCACGATGTAGACACCCAGCACTACTTTCTCAAACTCCTTCTCTGCTCCAACATCGGCATCCTTAAAAGAAAAGAATGGCAGATAGAAAGCTTCAATTTACAATTTAATATTTTCCCATATTGAAATCAAACCCTATAAATCAAGCACAAGGTGTGAGATGGTGACATTTTAATCAAAAATAACGCACACTGCTACAGTAGTTGCATGCTACAACCATTGTACATACGCTCTGACTACCATGCCAAAAAGCATCGCTCTTTTGCACAGCAGTCAACTGCTAAATCTTGTGCAACGGTGAGTGGGTTAAAGTGCGACTAAACACCTGTGCCCAGCCTGACTCCGACCACATGAACATTTGAAAATTCTCTGTAAAAAGGGCATTGCCCGCAGGACCAGGGGACAGGAAGGGGGCTTAGATTTGGGCGTGGTCTGGGCTGTGATTGACTGCTTGCTTGTCAGCTGTCAATTCTGGATTAAAGCAAAAGTTCCATACCAGAAATTCTCATTCCATCCTTGTTTACACACTAAAGATTATCGTTTAGCTAGACCAGGACCAGGACATAAAGAGCACTATAAAAGAAACATTCATGCAGTTTATGAGTTTAAAAAAAGTTGTTTTGGTGTTTAGTTTTCCTTTAAAAGTTAGACTAGCAATTGTGTTTCATTATCATTTAAGGTAAATTATCCATAATAAAGTAGATATTTATCTTTATGTGAATTTTGGTCTTAGCATTATTGGCTCTATGCACATAGTATTCATACTTTAAAATGTTCACTAAGTATGAGTAATAAGTATGAATGTTAAAATATCAATAGTACTTCATCCCTACAAGCCTGTTTAGTGAATTCTCACTCATAAGGGGTCTTTATTAGAACATTTGTCACCATTGTTTATATCGATTATACAATGTATAGGCATTGGAGGCTGGGCAAGGTAGGCCTATGAGTTGCGCTGTTGCATTTTTCTTCAGTGTCTACATTACAAATCAGTTTGTTTTGTTGGTGGTGACAAATCTGGCCTGTTTATATAACTATTGCTATAGCCTCTTATCATTTACATCTAGTTTTCTGCATACAGCAAATAAAAAAAAATTCAACCTACGAATTCTAGATGACTTGAAAAAAAAAAAAAAAGGAGAAATCGCCTTTTTTCCATCTTTCAACAAGGTACATTTTCTAGGACAAGACTGCGGCGCTTATGAATTATTGACAATTCTCTCACACCAAACACGGATTCCCAACGGCTTTGACAGAAATGTTCACTTGTTTGCATGTGTTTGGAGGCACAATAATGGTGATGAGTGGGTTAAGACATGGAACGGGTCTCTCTCTGGTCTCTCTCTCTGGTCTCTCTCTGGTCTCTCTCTGGCCTCTCTCTGGCCTCTCTCTGGTCTCTCTCTGGTCTCTCTGGTCTCTCTCTGGTCTCTCTGGTCTCTCTCTGGTCTCTCTCTGGTCTCTCTCTGGTCTCTCTCTGGTCTCTCTCTGGCCTCTCTCTGGCCTCTCTCTGGTCTCTCTCTCTGGTCTCTCTCTCTGGTCTCTCTCTGGTCTCTCTCTGGTCTCTCTCTGGTCTCTCTCTGGTCTCTCTCTGGTCTCTCTAGTCTCTCTCTGGTCTCTCTGGTCTCTCTGGTCTCTCTCTGGTCTCTCTCTGGCCTCTCTCTGGTCTCTCTCTGGTCTCTCTGGTCTCTCTCTGGTCTCTCTCTGGTCTCTCTCTGGTCTCTCTGGTCTCTCTCTGGTCTCTCTCTGGTCTCTCTAGTCTCTCTCTGGTCTCTCTCTCTGGTCTCTCTGGTCTCTCTGGTCTCTCTCTGGTCTCTCTCTAGTCTCTCTATGGCCTCTGGTCTACAGATCTGTTGGCTCTGTAGGCGAACTGCAGGGGGTCCAGGAGGGGGGAGGTGAGGGACTTGAGATGGGAGAGAACCAGGCGTTCAAATGACTTCATGACGACAGACGTAAGTGCTACAGGTCTGTAGTCATTGAGTCCTGTGATCCTGGGCTTCTTCGGGACGGGGACAATGATGGAGGATTTGAAGCAGGCCGGGACATGGCAGGACTGCAGAGAGGTGTTGAAAATGTCAGTGAACACAGGAGTAAGTAAGTAAGTAAGTAATCTTTATTTATATACCACCTTTTCACTGCAGATCAGAGTCTCAAAGCGGTTTACAATTGTTAATTATGGGCATTTATCTCTCACTCCACACAGAGATGGGAGCGGGGCCAGTACAGGAAGAACATGCCAGAACTATTGGACATATTTTTAGTGTTAGGGGAAACCGGAGTACCCGGAGGAAACCTACGCAGACACGGGGAGAACATGCAAACTCCACTCAGAAAGGCCCTGGTCCGACCGGGATTCGAACCCAGTAAGCTCACTGGCGCAGTGTCTCAGAGTGGCCGGAGACACGTGGTCCGGGCCAGGAGCTTTGCGGGGGTGCAGCCTCAAGAAGAGTTGTTTAATCTCTTTAGGGGCTATTGTTAGGCTGGGGGCAGGGCTGATGGGTGGGTCGTTAGAGTAGTGGGGGGTGGGGGAGGTGTCAGGGGCAGCATCAAAGCGACTGAAAAATAAGTTCAGTTCGTCAGCTAGCTTGTGGTCATCAGCACAGGGGGGGGCTTTGGGTTTGTAGTTGGTGATCTCCCGTAGGCCCCTCCAGACAGAAGCAGTATCGTTGTTACCAAACTGCTCCTGTAGTCGTTCTCTGTGCCGGGACTTGGCTGCTTTCAGTTCTTTCCTGAACTGATATTTAGCTGCTTTGTAGCCGCTGCGGCCCCCCTCCCTGAAAGCAGACTCCTTTGCTTTCCTGAGCTGCCGGAGTTTAGCAGTGAACCAGGGTTTGTCGTTGTTATAGATGACCCTGGTCCTTGTTGGAATGATGCTATCCTCGCAGAAGTGAATGTATGACGTCACAGTGTCCGTGTATTCATCCAAGCTGTCTGTGGCAGCTCTGAAAAGGTCCCAGTCTGTAGATTCCATGCATGCAGCTCTTCCACAGCTACATCAGACCACACTTTGGAGCTCCTCACTGCAGGTTTCGAGAGCTTTAGTCTCTGTCTGTAAGCAGGAACCAGATGTATCATGGAGTGATCTGAGAAGCCGAGGGCTGGCTTGGGAACAGCGCGAAAAGCTCCGCACACGGTGGTGTAACAGTGATCCAGAGTGTTCTCCTCTCTGGTCGGGCATTTGATAAACTGGGAACAGCCAGATGCGCAGTTAAAAAGTAAAAACAAAAGAAAAATAGAGCAGCAAAGAGCCATGTCGACCGTACGAGGCGCCATCTTTGTCAGAGACCAGAGAGAGACTAGAGAGAGACTAGAGAGAGACCAGAGAGAGACTAGAGAGAGACCAGAGAGAGACTAGAGAGAGACCAGAGAGACCAGAGAGAGACCAGAGAGAGACTAGAGAGAGACCAGAGAGAGACCAGAAAGAGGGACCAGAGAGAGACCAGAGAGAGACTAGAGAGAGACCAGAGAGAGACCAGAAAGAGGGACCAGAGAGAGACCAGAGAGAGACTAGAGAGAGACCAGAGAGAGACTAGAGAGAGACCAGAGAGAGACCAGAAAGAGGGACCAGAGAGAGACCAGAGAGAGACTAGAGAGAGACCAGAGAGAGACCAGAAAGAGGGACCAGAGAGAGACCAGAGAGAGACTAGAGAGAGACCAGAGAGAGACCAGAAAGAGGGACCAGAGAGAGACCAGAGAGAGACCAGAGAGAGACTAGAGAGAGACCAGAGAGAGACCAGAGAGAGACCAGAAAGAGGGACCAGTCTCTGGTCTCTCTCTGGTCTCTCTCTGGTCTCTCTGGTCTCTCTCTAGTCTCTCTCTGGTCTCTCTCTGGTCTCTCTCTGGTCTCTCTCTGGTCCCTCTTTCTGGTCTCTCTCTGGTCTCTCTCTAGTCTCTCTCTGGTCTCTCTGGTCTCTCTCTGGTCTCTCTCTGGTCTCTCTCTGGTCTCTCTCTGGTCTCTCTCTGGTCTCTCTCTGGTCTCTCTGGTCTCTCTGGTCTCTCTCTGGTCTCTCTCTGGTCTCTCTCTGGTCTCTCTCTGGTCTCTCTCTGGTCTCTCTCTGGTCTCTCTCTGGTCTCTCTCTGGTCTCTCTGGTCTCTCTCTGGTCTCTCTCTGGTCTCTCTCTGGTCTCTCTGGTCTCTCTCTGGTCTCTCTCTGGTCTCTCTCTGGTCTCTCTCTGGTCTCTCTGGTCTCTCTCTGGTCTCTCTGGTCTCTCTCTGGTCTCTCTCTGGTCTCTCTCTGGTCCCTCTTTCTGGTCTCTCTCTGGTCTCTCTCTAGTCTCTCTCTGGTCTCTCTGGTCTCTCTCTGGTCTCTCTCTGGTCTCTCTCTGGTCTCTCTCTGGTCTCTCTCTGGTCTCTCTCTGGTCTCTCTCTGGTCTCTCTGGTCTCTCTCTGGTCTCTCTCTGGTCTCTCTCTGGTCTCTCTCTGGTCTCTCTCTGGTCTCTCTCTGGTCTCTCTCTGGCCTCTCTCTGGTCTCTCTCTGGTCTCTCTCTGGTCTCTCTGGTCTCTCTCTGGTCTGGGATTGGTGTGAGACTCCAGATAAGGCGTTGCTGCTAAAAGTGACCCATATTCACTTTAATCTGTCCCGACGCTGGAGAGAGCCGCTGCTAAGTCACGATAGGAAACTGCTTTGTTCCGAGCTCGGACTCGCGGACTCAGAACAACAGAATGGACCATGAGCTCGGGGTGAAGGGGAGCTCCCAACGCAGGGTCTCTCTGAACTAAAAAATGGCCAAAAATGTAAATATGAAAAGTACAATCACAGAGTTCAACATGGATGTCAGTTTATAGTTAAAATTAACAAATATCAGCCATTTTTGCCTTCAAAATCTGACACGTGTTGTTGGCCTCTGTCACATCTTTACACCATTGTTTTCAGACGTAAAAGTGAAAAAGAAAGGAAAAACCTTGCCTGGTTTCTCTCTGGTCTCTCTGGTCTCTCTCTCTAGTCTCTCTCTAGTCTCTCTCTGGTCCCTCTTTCTGGTCTCTCTCTGGTCTCTCTCTAGTCTCTCTCTGGTCTCTCTCTGGTCCCTCTTTCTGGTCTCTCTCTGGTCTCTCTCTAGTCTCTCTCTGGTCTCTCTCTGGTCCCTCTTTCTGGTCTCTCTCTGGTCTCTCTCTAGTCTCTCTCTGGTCTCTCTCTGGTCCCTCTTTCTGGTCTCTCTCTGGTCTCTCTCTAGTCTCTCTCTGGTCTCTCTCTGGTCCCTCTTTCTGGTCTCTCTCTGGTCTCTCTCTAGTCTCTCTCTGGTCTCTCTCTAGTCTCTCTCTGGTCTCTCTCTGGTCTCTCTGGTCTCTCTCTAGTCTCTCTCTGGTCTCTCTCTAGTCTCTCTCTGGTCTCTCTCTAGTCTCTCTCTAGTCTCTCTCTGGTCTCTGACAAAGATGGCGCCTCGTACGGTCGACATGGCTCTTTGCTGCTCTATTTTTCTTTTGTTTTTACTTTTTAACTGCGCATCTGGCTGTTCCCAGTTTATCAAATGCCCGACCAGAGAGGAGAACACTCTGGATCACTGTTACACCACCGTGTGCGGAGCTTTTCGCGCTGTTCCCAAGCCAGCCCTCGGCTTCTCAGATCACTCCATGATACATCTGGTTCCTGCTTACAGACAGAGACTAAAGCTCTCGAAACCTGCAGTGAGGAGCTCCAAAGTGTGGTCTGATGAAGCTGTGGAAGAGCTGCATGCATGGAATCTACAGACTGGGACCTTTTCAGAGCTGCCACAGACAGCTTGGATGAATACACGGACACTGTGACGTCATACATTCACTTCTGTGAGGATAGCATCATTCCAACAAGGACCAGGGTCATCTATAACAACGACAAACCCTGGTTCACTGCTAAACTCCGGCAGCTCAGGAAAGCAAAGGAGTCTGCTTTCAGGGAGGGGGACCGCAGCGGCTACAAAGCAGCTAAATATCAGTTCAGGAAAGAACTGAAAGCAGCCAAGTCCCGGCACAGAGAACGACTACAGGAGCAGTTTGGTAACAACGATACTGCTTCTGTCTGGAGGGGCCTACGGGAGATCACCAACTACAAACCCAAAGCCCCCCCCTGTGCTGACGACCACAAGCTAGCTGACGAACTGAACTTATTTTTCAGTCGCTTTGATGCTGCCCCTGACACCTCTCCCTCCCCCACCCCCCACTACTCTAACGACCCACCCATCAGCCCTGCCCCCAGCCTGACAATAGCCTCTAAAGATATTCAACAACTCTTCTTGAGGCTGCACCCCCGCAAAGCTCCTGGCCCGGACCACGTGTCTCCGGCCACTCTGAGACACTGCGCCAGTGAGCTTACTCCTGTGTTCACGGACATTTTCAACACCTCTCTGCAGTCCTGCCATGTCCCGGCCTGCTTCAAATCCTCCATCATTGTCCCCGTCCCGAAGAAGCCCAGGATCACAGGACTCAATGACTACAGACCTGTAGCACTTACGTCTGTCGTCATGAAGTCATTTGAACGCCTGGTTCTCTCCCATCTCAAGTCCCTCACCTCCCCCCTCCTGGACCCCCTGCAGTTCGCCTACAGAGCCAACAGATCTGTAGACGACGCCATTAACCTGGCCCTCCACCACATCCTACAGCACCTGGACTCCCCGGGGACCTACGCCAGGGTCCTGCTCCCTCATCAAGAAGGCCCAGCAGAGGATGTACTTCCTGCGGCAGCTCAGGAAAGCCAAGCTGCCTGCACAGATGTTGGTGCAGTTCTACACGGCCATCATCGAGTCCATCCTCACCTCCTCCATCACCTCCATCACCTCCTCCATCACCTCCTCCATCACCTCCTCCATCCACCTCCTCCATCCCCTCCTCCATCACCTCCTCCATCACCTCCTCCATCACCGTGTGGTTCGCTGGAGCCACAGTCAGGGACAAACAGAGACTACAGTGCATTGTGCGCTCTGCAGAGGAAGTGATCGGCCGCAGCCTTCCATCGCTGCAGGACCTGTACGTCGCCCGAGCTCGAGGCCGGGCTGGTCGTATCACAGCCGACCCCTCTCACCTGCACATGGACTATTCCAACCACTCCCCTCTCACCTGCACATGGACTATTCCAACCACTCCCCTCTCACCTGCACATGGACTATTCCAACCACTCCCCTCTCACCTGCACATGGACTATTCCAACCACTCCCCTCTCACCTGCTCATGGACTATTCCAACCACTCCCCTCTCACCTGCACATGGACTATTCCAACCACTCCCCTCTCACCTGCTCATGGACTATTCCAACCACTCCCCTCAGGCAGGAGGCTGCGGTCCATCAGGACTAGAACCTCCCGCCACAAGAACAGTTTCTTCCCCTCTGCTGTTGGACTCTTGAACACTTCTTAACCTGTCCCCCCGCCCTTTATAAAGTCACTTTACTGCCCATCATACGTCACTTTACTTCACTGTACTGCTGTCACCTTACATTGTGTGCACCATGTGCACTTGTATATTGTAAAAAGTAACTGTAACTCTATTTTAAATTTAAATTTATTCTTTAGAAGTGTTTTTTATTCTTATTTTTATTATCTCTTTCTGACTGTTGCACTGAGCCAAAGCAATTTCCAAGTCTGTGACCTCCTGTTACTTACGTGGCAATAAAAATGATCTCTCCGGTCTCTCTCTGGTCTCTCCCTGGTCTCTCTCTGGTCTCTCCCTGGTCTATCTCTGGTCTCTCATTGGTCTCTCTCTGGTCTCTCTCTGCTCTCTCTCTGGTCTCTCTCTGGTCTCTCTCCGGTCTCTCTCTGGTCTCTCTCTGGTCTCTCTCTGGTCTCTCTCTCTCCAATCTCTCTCTCTCCGGTCTCTCTCTGATCTCTCTCTCTCTGGTCTCTCTCTGGTCTCTCTCCGGTCTCTCTCTGGACTCACTCTGGTCTCACTCTGGTCTCTCTCCGGTCTCTCTCTGGTCTCTCTCTGGTCTCTCTCTGGTCTTTCTCTGGTCTCTCTCTGGTCTCTCCCTGGTCTCTCTCTGGTCTCTCATTGGTCTCTCTCTGGTCTCTCTCTGGTCTCTCTCTGCTCTCTCTCTCTGCTCTCTCTCTGGTCTCTCTCTGGTCTCTCTCTGGTCTCTCTCTGGTCTCTCTCTGGTCTCTCTCTCTCCGGTCTCTCTCTCTCCGGTCTCTCTCTCTCCGGTCTCTCTCTCTCCGGTCTCTCTCTGGTCTCTCTCTGATCTCTCTCTCTCTGGTCTCTCCGGTCTCTCTCTCTCTCTCTCTCCGGTCTCTCTCTCCCCGGTCTTTCTCTCTCCGGTCTCTCTCTGGTCTCTCTCTGATCTCTCTCTCTCTGGTCTCTCTCTGGTCTCTCTCCGGTCTCTCTCTGGTCTCTCTCTGGTCTCTCTCTCTGGTCTCTCTTTGGTCTCTCTCTGGTCTCTCTCTCTCCGATCTCTCTCTCTCCGGTCTCTCTCTGGTCTCTCTCTGGTCTCTCTCCGGTCTCTCTCCGGTCTCTCTCTGGTCTCACTCTGGTCTCTCTCCGGTCTCTCTCTGGTCTCTCTCTGGTCTCTCTCTGGTCTTTCTCTGGTCTCTCTCTGGTCTCTCCCTGGTCTCTCTCTGGTCTCTCATTGGTCTCTCTCTGGTCTCTCTCTGGTCTCTCTCTGCTCTCTCTCTCTGCTCTCTCTCTGGTCTCTCTCTGGTCTCTCTCTGGTCTCTCTCCGGTCTCTCTCCGGTCTCTCTCTGGTCTCTCTCTGGTCTCTCTCTCTCCGGTCTCTCTCTCTCCGGTCTCTCTCTGGTCTCTCTCTGATCTCTCTCTCTCTGGTCTCTCCGGTCTCTCTCTGGTCTCTCTCTGGTCTCTCTCTGGTCTCTCTCTAGTCTCTCTCTGGTCTTTCTCTGGTCTCTCTCTGGTCTCTCTCTGACCTGTCCCAAATCCACTCAGACTCACGCAGTTATTACGTCATATTTCATGATTTTTTCCGAGTCTAACGTACTTTATATGAACCACAATTCTCCTTTCAGCCTGACAGTGTGAGGGAATCCCTGTCCCCCCCCTCCCTCCCACTCTGCTGCTGCTGCCGAGGGTAAAAATAGCCCGGTCCCTGATTGAGAGCGAAGCCGCAGATTGAATGGAAGTCTTTGAGGAAGGCCCGGTCCGTGAAGAAGCACAGACTGGGATCATTCAGACCGGGATCATTCAGACCGGGATCATTCAGACCGGGATCATTCAGACCGGGATCATTCAGACCGGGATCATTGTGTTGCTGTGTATCAGGCCTGAACAGGTGCGACAACAGCCTCTGAGCGTTACGCAACTGGGCTTTTGTAAATCGCCCAAAACTACGACACGACGACAGCCTGGTTTAAAGTGGGCGTTTTAGTTTGAATATGAAATGAAGCCGTGAAAAGGACTGGAATGTTCAGCTTCAGTTTCATCAATGTTTATAAAAGTGAAAAACTATAAAGAAGGTCTGGCAAAGTATATTATCTGAACTAGTTACAGCCTCAGTCCTGGGTCTACAGCCTCAGTCCTGGGTCTACAGCCTCAGTCCTGGGTCTACAGCCTCAGTCCTGGATCTACGGCCTCAGTCCTGGGTCTACAGCCTCAGTCCTGGGTTTAAAGCCTCAGTCCTGGATCTACAGCCTCAGTTCTGGGTCTACAGTCTCAGTCCTGGGTCTACAGTCTCAGTCCTGGGTCTACAGCCTCAGTCCTGGATCTACAGCCTCAGTCCTGGGTCTACAGCCTCAGTCCTGGGTCTACAGCCTCAGTCCTGGGTCTAAACACAAACGTAAACATAAATTCTAAGATATCACGTTCTCATTCGTTCGTCGCTGACACACATCTCAACACGTTTAAAACCACTGAGACTCTCTCGACCAATCAGACGCAGGCTCCTCCGCACACTGCAGATCTGAGCTACATCCTCCCTCCTCCAATCCAGGCCCGGTCCGCTCTCCCGCTCTGGGGTCCGGGCTGTGTCCCACGTGGCCCCCCCCCCCCCCTCCTCTCCTGGACACCTGCTGCGTTGGCGGTGGGAGGGGGAGGGAGGGGAGGCGCTAATTAGGGAACAAGGAACACAGGGGATAACGATACCAGGCTTGGACAGTGTTTCACAGATGTTTCCCAGCGGTCACAGTGTAGCAGCAGCAGCGGGACGGGGGGTTAGTGAGGGGGGGTGGGGGGGGTAAAGCTGCCCCCGAAACTGGACATTTATGGATTTATGGTCATTGGTCTCTGCGCCTGATTTAGGGGCTGGAAAAGTTACTTTGAAAATAAAATATCTCTGAACTACTGTTATCAGTTAAAGAAGTATTGGAAAGAGCAGTTTATTATTATGACAGATTAGGGCCCTTTAATGATGACAGATTAGGGCCCTTTAACAGATTAGGGCCCTTTAATGTTGACAGATTAGGGCCCTTTAATTATGACATATTAGGGCCCTTTAATGTTGACAGATTAGGGCCCTTTAATGATGACAGATTAGGGCCCTTTAACAGATTAGGGCCCTTTAATGTTGACAGATTAGGGCCCTTTAATTATGACAGATTAGGGCCCTTTAATTATGACAAATTAGGGCCCTTTAATGATAACAGATTAGGGCCCTTTAATTATGACAGATTAGGGCCCTTTAATGATGATTTTTGTTTTAAGGCAGTGTCAGAATGTTCTAAAATTTAGATACATTTTGCCAAATTTTAGCCATTTTTAACTTATTTTTCATCACTTTTTACCGTGTGTGATGTTTTCTCGCCGCCAACGCCTGCCACCGAAGCAGCCAATCACAGAGGGCCGAACGTGACCAGAGGAATCAAAGCTGCGGTTAGCGAGACCAATTTATTTATCTGGACGTGATTAGGTCCAAAATGAGCTGCGGGAAACCATCTGTGGCCGTCACTGGGTCACCTTCAGATCAAACCAGATGTGAAGAGCTTTCGGCTTCATGCACTAAAGAAACTATGAATATTTCACTGGTATTTGATGGTATCTTTGATGGTTTTACCAGAGTTGACCACTAATCTTTTACATGTGATTATTCTGTATGATGTAGAATTTTTGACAAATTTTCAAATAAATGTAACGCTTGTAGATCCTGGGTTTGATTCCACCTTCTGGCCTTTCTGTGTGGAGTTTGCATGTTCTCCCCGTGTCTGCGTAGGTTTCCCCCTAGTGCTCCGGGTGTCCCCTGCCACTAAAAACGTGCACAATAGGTCGGACATGTGACCTCACTCCCATCTCTGTGTGGAGTGAGACACATTTCCACATTTGTAAAGTACTTTGTGAGTCTTGTCTGTTTTAAGGCGCTATATAAATAAGGTTGACTTTTGAACATTGAGTATATGTTTGGACTGAATCTAAACTGGACCAAAGTAAGGAATGAGGAAAAATACCACCTTAAAGGAGCTAAACCCGTTTCTGCAGGTTTGAATGTTTAGCCCCGCCCCCAACTCGCTCACAGGCTTCTCATTTCCCCTACGCTCTCATAACACGGAGCCATTTGGATTTATTTGCGATCTGATACGTATGCTAACATTAGCATTAGCACAACTTAAGCTGTACAACAATCACCGATGAAATGGTACAAAAGCAACGCACTGCTAACACAATATATAACTGAAAGATTACAGCTAGTTTCACGTCCGAATGTAGTCAGAGCGTAGATAGTCCGAGCGTAGATAGTCCGAGCGTAGATAGTCCGAGCGTAGATAGTCCGAGCGTAGATAGTCCGAGCGTAGATGGTCCGAGCTTAGATAGTCCGAGCGTAGATAGTCCGAGCGTAGATGGTCCGAGCTTAGATAGTCCGAGCGTTGAGCGTAGATGGTCCGAGCGTAGATAGTCCGAGCGTAGAGCGTAGATGGTCCGAGCGTAGATGGTCCGAGCGTAGATAGTCCGAGCTTAGAAACCGAGCATAGATAGTCCGAGCATAAATAGTCCGAGCGTAGAGCGTAGATGGTCCGAGCGTAGATAGTCCGAGCATAAATAGTCCGAGCATAAATAGTCAGAGCGTAGAGCGTAGATGGTCCGAGCGTAGATAGTCCGAGCGTAGATAGTCCGAGCGTAGATAGTCCGAGCGTAGATAGTCCGAGCGTAGATAGTCCGAGCGTAGATAGTCCGAGCGTAGATAGTCCGAGCGTAGATAGTCCGAGCGTAGATAGTCCGAGCGTAGATAGTCCGAGGCGGTCCCGCAGGTCTCTCCCATAGACCAGTCTCTCCAGAGGATACGATGTAAGCTAGCTCTGTTCAGGGCTTGGTTTCTTCTTTGATCATGTTGTGGCTTTAGTTCCTCTTCTCTTCCTCACTGTTGTGTGGTTTGGGCTGTTTTGCTGTGTCTGCAGTTACAGCCAGAGGAGTTATAGCCACTTATGCTAACATGCTACTGTGTTTAGCAGCGCTGTAGAGGCTAGAGGACGCAGCCTCGCTCTGTGATTGGAGGAGAGCGGGCGTCACGCTAAGTCTCTACTCAGCACTTTTTACGCCTGAATTCATACACAGCTGAATCAATGAGATCAAGTTTTACATTAAATTACAGTTTATAATAAAGCTTGTGTGTAGTAATACACACAATACACATAAGGTCTACTCCAAGGTACTGGAGAGGAGGTTACGGCCAATGGTCGAATCTCGGATCCAGGAGGAGCAGTGTGGTTTTCGTCCCGGTCGCGGAACACTGGACCAGCTCTATACTCTCCATCGGATACTCGAGGGTTCATGGGAGTTCGCCCAACCTGTCCACATGTGCTTTGTGGATTTAGAGAAGGCGTTCGACTGTGTTCCCCGGGGTGTCCTTTGGGGGGTTCTCCGGGAGTACGGGGTCGGAGGTCCTCTGCTGAGGGCCGTGCGGTCCCTGTATGACCGGAGCCAGAGCTGTGTTTGCATTGCCGGCAGTAAGTCAGACCTGTTCCCGGTGAATGTTGGCCTCCGACAGGGCTGCCCTTTGTCACCGGTTCTGTTCACTGTATTTATGGACAGAATATCTAGGCGCAGCCAGGGGTCGGAGGGGGTCCGGTTCGGAGACCACAGGATTTCATCTCTGCTGTTTGCGGACGATGTTGTCCTGTTGGCTCCAACGAACCAGGACCTGCAGCATGCACTGGGACGGTTTGCAGCCGAGTGTGAAGCGGCTGGGATGAGAATCAGCACCTCCAAATCCGAGGCCATGGTGCTCGACCGGAAAAAGGTGCCTTGCCCTCTGCAGGCGGGTGGAGAGGTCCTTCCTCAAGTGGAGGAGTTCAAGTATCTCGGGGTCTTGTTCACGAGTGAGGGAAGAATGGAGCGTGAGATTGACAGGCGGATCGGTGCAGCGTGCGCAGTGATGCGGTCGCTGTATCGGACCGTTGTGGTAAAGAGGGAGCTGAGCCGAAAGGCAAAGCTCTCGATTTACCGGTCAATCTTTGTTCCCTCCCTCACCTATGGTCATGAGCTTTGGGTAATGACCGAAAGAACGAGATCGCGGATACAAGCGGTCGAAATGAGCTTCCTCCGCAGAGTGGCTGGGCGCTCCCTTAGAGATAGGGTGAGGAGCTCAGTCACACGGGAGGAGCTTGGAGTAGAACCGCTGCTTCTCCACGTCGAGAGGAACCAGTTGAGGTGGCTCGGGCATCTGTTCCGGATGCTTCCTGGACGCCCCCCTGGGGAGGTGTTCCGGGCACGCCCCACCGGGAGGAGGCCCCGCGGAAGACCCAGGACACGCTGGAGGGACTATGTCTCTCAGCTGGCCTGGGAACGCCTTGGGGTCCCCCCGGACGAGCTGGAGGAAGTGTGTGTGGATAGGGAAGTCTGGGCGTCTCTGCTTAGACTGCTGCCCCCGCAACCCGGCAACGGATAAAGCGGAAGAAAATGGATGGATGGATGGATGGATGTAGTAATATAGCATTTTTATGAAGTTATTAGAAAAAAAATCAGGTATAGCTTCTTTGAAACAACAAACTCAAGTCAAAAATCTACAATCAATCCATCCGTAGCGATTTTCTCTCCCAGCAGCTTCATGACAGACGGATGGACAAAATGGCCGCCCTTCTGCAGGTATAAAACTGGATCCATTTAAAGAACACTTCTTTGTCTTCTCTAAACGACTCCTTCTCCTCTGTTGTTGACAGACGACACACTGTTTTTACCTCAGCTCATCAATCCAGCTTTATCCGTTTATTAGCCACAACCAAAACACCGGCGGCAGACACGGGAGATTTCCCTGGTTGCATCGTCTTAAAGCCGTGCAGTTGATTCAAGTTGGATTGGATTGGGTTTTTTTCTTCACAAACGACTGGGAAGGTTTTGGTGAAATATATGGGACTAAATTATACACTCTCTCTGCCCTCCTCCTCTCTCCTCCTCCTCTCTCTATCCTCCTCTCTCTCCTCCTCTCTCCTCTCTCTCTCCTACTCTCTCTCCTCCTCTCTCTATCCTCCTCTCTCTCCTCCTCCTCTCTCCTCCTCTCTCCTCCTCCTCTCTCTATCCTCCTCTCTCTCCTCCTCTCTCTCTCCTCCTCCTCTCTCCTCCTCCTCTCTCTCTCCTCCTCTCTCTCTATCCTCCTCTCTCTCTCTCCTCCTCTCTCTCCTTCGCTCTCTCCTCCTCCTCTCTCCTCCTCTCTCTCTCCTCCTCTCTCTCTATCCTCCTCTCTCTCTCTCTCCTCCTCTCTCTCTCCTCCTCTCTCTCTCCTCTCTCTCTCCTCCTCTCTCTCCTCCTCTCTCTCTCTCTCCTCCTCTCTCTCTCCTCCTCTCTCCTCCTCTCTCTCTCTCCTCCTCCTCTCTCTCCTCCTCCTCTCTCTCTCCTCCTCTCTCTCTCTCCTCCTCCTCTCTCTCTCTCCTCCCCCTCTCTCCTCCTCTCTCTTTCTCCCCCTGAGGCCCATTACCTTTGGTCAGGCGGATGTTGCATTGAAGTCACATAATAATCTCTGTAATGTGTTCCTGCAGAGACCCACAGAGACGCTGATACTTTGGAGCAGGAGAATGAGTCTGGTGTGTGTGTGTGTGGATGGTTGGTGGTGGTGGGAGGGGCCTCGCTTCTGTCAGTGTGCCCCAGGGCAGCTGTGGCTACAGTAGTAGAGCGTAGACAGTCCGAGCACAGATAGTTTGAAGCGTCTTGAGCTTCCAGAAAAGCGTCACATCAAACCAATGTCTGACTATAACCAAACTAAATCACATTGTTGGTTCAGGTCTTTGCCTCTCAGTAACACCACATCCTCCAAATGTTTTTAAAAAGGTCCAAAACAGTTTGAGATCGAGGCCGTCCTGTCCCGAGTCCTGGACCAGCTGCCAATCTCACAGACTGGACCTTATTCTGGAGCATTGGGGACAACAAACCAAAACTGTTGACATAATAGCAGCGTAATAACCAGGAGACCAATGTCCATAATAACCAGGAGACCAATGTCCATAATAACCATGAGACCAATGTCCATAATAACCAGGAGACCAATGTCCATAATAACCAGGAGACCAATGTCCATAATAACCATGAGACCAATGTCCATAATAACCAGGAGACCAATGTCCATAATAACCAGGAGACCAATGTCCATAATAACCAGGAGACCAATGTCCATAATAACCATGAGACCAATGTCCATAATAACCAGGAGACCAATGTCCATAATAACCAGGAGACCAATGTCCATAATAACCAGGAGACCAATGTCCATATTAACCATGAGACCAATGTCCATAATAACCAGGAGACCAATGTCCATAATAACCAGGACACCAATGTCCATAATAACCAGGAGACCAATGTCCATAATAACCAGGAGACCAATGTCCATAATAACCATGAGACCAATGTCCATAATAACCAGGAGACCAATGTCCATAATAACCAGGAGACCAATGTCCATAATAACCAGGAGACCAATGTCCATAATAACCAGGAGACCAATGTCCATAATAACCAGGAGACCAATGTCCATAATAACCAGGAGACCAATGTCCATAATAACCATGAGACCAATG